GTTCTACTAAGGAAATAAAGAGGGACTCTTTTAGGATGGGTAAGGAAGGGTCATCTAAGAAAACATTTCCATAGAGACTTGAAAGCTGAAGAGGGGGTTATCCGGGGTCCCTCCCGGTCCTCAGTGAGCCGTCGGGCAGTGCACACTAGGGGCCTAGCCTCGACGCGCCTGGCGGTCCTGGACGTCCCAGTGCGCCGAGGCGCCCCGACCGCGGGACGCCTGCGGAGGCCTCCTCCGTCCCGGACCCACCCCCGCGTCGAGGGCTGGCCTTTCTAGGCCTCCTTTACCCCGCCCCGCACCCGCGTTTCCACCAGCTCTCAGGGGTCCTCTCGGTTCCCCGCCCCCTCCTCCTTTGTCCGGGGTCCCTTAGCTTCCTCCCTTCCCAGTTCCTGGGCCCGGCTCTTGCCTCAGTGAAACCTCCGTAAGTCGTCTGGTAGAACTCATCTTCTTCCTCTGCCTCCAGAAGCCCAGAAAGCCTGTTCCCAGCGGTCTTCCGGGGGGCCCGGCCCCCAGCCAAACTCATGTCGCCTAGCGAGACTGCGCGGCCACAAGGGCCCGCTCACCCAGCTTGGTTCCTGGAGCTCGGCGCTCGACACCACTACCTGTGGGCGGCCGCCCACGACGGAAGTCGGGCGTCTGCAGGCAGAAGTAGCAGAGCGTCGAGTGCACCCCTCCCCCCCCAGTCCCGCCTCTAAATCATTTTTACTCATCAGCTCCACCCACTCTAGCGAAGAGCTTCCAAGCCCTCTGACCTGGCTTGCTTAGTGACACCCGGACCCTCGCTACCCTACGTCTAGTTTGTTGTTGTTGTTTTTGTACCGGGGATTGAACCCTCCAGCGCGCCCCCCTCTTTTTTTTAATTTTATTTTTGATTTTAAGAGGTCGGTCTTCCTCTGCTGCAGCCCATTGTTCATTTTGCCAGTTGGAATCTTTATAAAAACTCAGACTTTGTCACTCCTCTCTTTGAAAAATTTTAATGTCTCCCCATCATCTACAGGATAAGCAGAAAGCACAGTATTATGGTTCAGTACACAGTCTTAGAACTAGACAGACCTGTTTGCGTCTGAGCTGGAAGGTTTTCTACCTATGTGACTGTACAAATAGCTTTACTTCTCTGAATATGTTTTCTCATCTGCAAAATGAGACTGTTACTGTGTGAGTGAGAATTAACAGACCACCACACTTATCGAGCCAAACTGAAAGGGGAAAAAAAAGTCCTTTAAATCAGAAAGTCAGGTAAGCGACTGGGAACAGGTATCCCCTCTAGAACTCGCAGCACTTGAATTTTGGAAGCATAGAGTTTATAAAGGGAAAAACCACAATATTTTTTTAATATTTATTTTTTAGTTGTAGTTGGACACAATACCTTTATTTCACTTATTTATTTTTATGTGGTGCTGAGGATCGAACCCAGGGTCTTGCACGTGAGAGGTGAGCGCTCTACCCCGAGCCACAACCCCAGCCGGAGAATTGTTTTGATTATACATTTCATAGTTAGTTATATGTCAGGGCCGTGGAAAGATACTAATGTATTGTTAACATAGATACAGCTGTCAGGAGACTGAAAAGAAAACATTTTAAGCAAGCATAAAATGGAGTAAGGTCAGAACAAAATGGCATTACTGTGGTTCTTTTGCATTTCAGGACTAATAATAATATCTACATTTTAAAGATTATTGAAAGGATTAAGAGATATAATCCTTGTAAAGTCTTTAGCACGGTGTTTAGTAAAGACATAATAAACGTTTCGTAGAAGATAACTACTATTAGCATGACGTTTAAGATCCTTCATAATTTAGCCTCTCCCTGTCCTTCTAACCTCACCTCCTGCCTCATCATCCTATTTAAGCATTACTTCCCTATCACCCAATTCTCTGTCATCACTGCATGATGACCTGGAGGTTTTTCTCTTAGAAATCCTTTCCTTTTTGTCTGGCAAAATTTTAATTTTATAGTAGAGTGAAGTCTTCCTGAACACTCATTCCTCTCTTTCCAGGCAGTTTCCATAGCTGTGGAAATCATGCCTCCTAGGAAGGCATGATTTTGGAATTGTTTCAATCTCAAATAGGCTGTGTATTTATCAAGACACTGTGTCACTTCTGTTCTCATTTTTTATTCTGAATACATGCCTGTCAAACCATAGCACTTGTATGCCTCCATGATGGCACCTATTTCATTTTATTCTAATGACTTATGTATCTGTCCACCTTATTAGTCTGTGATCTTTTTGAGGGCAGTGGCTTTATCTTCATCTGTATACTAGGGACTCTCTTAGTACATGGGCTATATGATATAGCTGGGACTAAATTATGTTACTTGAATGAATTGACCATTCTTCCTCTACCATGCAGTCTTGCCAGGTTTCTCAGGTTGGCCTCAAATTTGCAGTCCTCCTGCCTCAGCCTCTCAAATAGCTGGAATTACAAGCATTATCTACCATGCCTGTCTGGTACCCATCCTCCTATTCTTGCCCTTGCCAATTCCCAGGCCCTTTATTCTTTTTTTTTTTTTTTTTTAAGAGAGAGTGAGAGAGGAGAGAGAGAGAGAGAGAGAGAGAGAGAGAGAGAGAGAGAGAGAGAGAATTTTTTTTTTTATATTTATTTTTTAGTTCTCGGCGGACACAACATCTTTGTTGGTATGTGGTGCTGAGGATCGAACCAGGGTCGCACGCAGGCCAGGCAAGCGCGCTACCGCTTGAGCCACATCCCCAGCCCCCAGGCCCTTTATTCTGATCTTATAAGCTGGTATAAGACTTGAAGGACTTTTTTTGTGTGTGGTACTAGGGCTTTGTGCATCACAGTCAAATGTTCTACCACTGAGCTATGTATCCTTAGTCCCCCAAAAGATGATTTAATGAAGCTGTGGGTGTATACTCAGATGCATTCAAGTCTGAATATGTGGACATGTTTTGAGGTCGCCAAATTGTCTTCCTTCCCAGAGTATGTATTGGTGAACTCCCTTTTTCATTTCCTTAGGGGCATCAAGCCAACGTGTACTGTTCTGCCTCTGCTTCCACACCCTGCCACATCACGTCACCCCGGTTCTGCTATGCCAGGAATGTTACTAGAGGAGAATGGCTCCATGACTCATGGGGCACCCAGGGGTAAAGTGGGAAGGGGGACAGAAACAAGATTGAGGGGTACAAGTTGGAAAATACCTGCTTTTTCAACATTCCTAACTTGACTTTTGGATTTTACGTTCATTCAGTCATTTATTAGGACATTTAGTAGACATTTATTAGGCACTTACTCTGTACCAGGCACTAGTCTAGATGCTTGAGATATAAAAATGGATAAGATATAGTCTTTGACCTGAAAAGTTTAGTCTCATGAGGGAGTCAAACAGGTAAGCAGACTGACATAACAAGGTGGCAGGTGTAATTGTAATCTTCTGGCAAAAAAGGTAGGAATAAAGATCTCTTAAGAAGCTATAAATTAGAGATTTCTTCTTTCAGGAGGGCTTAAATCAAATTCATAGATCAACTCCCAGAGATAAGATTCCTGTTTAACTGTCTTTGTTCATTCAGGAATTTATTGGTTTATTTCTAAACAGCTTTACCTCTACACTGAGGTTTTTTTTGGGGGGTGGAGTGGGGTGGGGGGTGTTTTTGTTTTTTTGTGGTGCTAGGTTTGGAACCCAGGACCTGGCACATACCAGGTAAGTCCTCTACCAACTGAACTATACCTCATCCCACACCAGTTGGTTCTTAAAGTAACTCAGGAAATGGAAGTAAATGCATGTCTTTTCTGAAAAGAAGGATAATTTACTCAATTGATATATTTTTTTCTTAAATACTTTTTCTGTTTGATATTTGTTTACTGCATACCTGTGAGTCAAATCCTGTGCTCCAAGCTGTCTAGTTGTATGTTTAGTTGGGTGGAGGGTATAGGTATAGGCCATCTTAAAATACTTCAGTACTAAACAGTATTGAATAGTAATCCCAATCGGTTGATGTTTGTTTACCTTCAGTACCTAGAAGACAAATAATCCAGCAGGTGGCAGCAAGAAAACAAGTATTTTATATCTCGATGAAGCTGAGGTAAATGAGTAAAGGATAGTCTTTGGACGTTCCAGTCCTATGTTCCCTTTGGAGGACCCAAAAGACATTGGGGGCTACAAAACTTGAGGATTTTCCCATTCCTCTTCATTTATTCATTCCACAACGAGTTGCTGAGCAATACTCCGTTCAAAGTCACGGGTCAAAAGAGTGAACCAAACATCCCTTGCTCTCCAGGGGCTTGGTGTGATCAGGTCTTCAGCTCTCCACCAGGTTCCACACCCTCCAGGGTTTTTTGTTAAAGCGGGGCAGTTAATTCAATTAGAATTAGACTAGATTAGAAGCGGGGGGATTTTGGCATATCGAATGTCCTTTGGGGCATACCTAATTGAAAGTTGGAGGCTAAAGACTTTGGATCTCGGGAAGCTTTGTGATTCGGTCTCATCGCCTTCCGTGTTTTTTTTTTCTTTTTTCTTTCTTTTTCTCTATTTACAGGTCTTCATTGATTCATTCACCAATATTTACTGAACTCCGACACTGTGCCCAACTTTGAGTTGGACGCAAACAAAACAGATCTATCTCTAACGTCTTTCGGAGGAAGGTAAGACGTACATTAAACAAGGTTGTAAAACCGAAAAAGGGCTGGGAAGAGTTCTTGGTGGCATGTGATGTTTAGTATATTCGACGGCTTAACGTCTTGGTGCCAGCGCTTCCGCTGTTCTTTCCTGGGCTGTGAACTTGAGAGGGACGGCCCGAGCTGACTTTTTCCCAGTTTACAGCACGCAAAACCCAAGTCCTTTCAAAGAGCCGTTTCAAAGTTGACTTACCGAGCCACCGTAGGGGCGGTCCGCCGCCTAGCTGCTCTCCAGTTTTCTACTCCTGGATTTGTTAGGGTGTGAGGAACCCGCCTCACGTGACCATCAGCAGCCTTCCGATTGGTTTTGTTTCCCCTCCCATTCAGTGGGTGGAACCCTGAGGCAGCAGGTCGGGCGCATGCGCACAGCCTCTTCCCACCCCCTTGGCCACCTAGGACTGGAGCCCTGCGGTTGGGCGATAAACACTCTGCGGCTAGGGAGGAGGGAACGGGGGGGCGTTCGCTCCTTTCGGACTGCTTTTGGAAGTAAATGCCTTATTTTCCTTTTGGGTGAGGTTAGGTCCGGACGCGGGGTCCAGGCCGCCGGTTTGAGCCTACTCCCTTGTGAGAGCAGAAAATCGCTCCTATGGAGAGCGATTAAAGTTGCGGAGGGGACTGCGAGCCGGGAGTTTTCTCCATGGCCGGCGAATGGTTCGGCCCTGAACTGGTCCAAGAGCTAGCCGGACGCGTCTGAGAGAGGCCCCAGAGGGGGCGGGAGGGCGGTCCGCAAAACGCGAGTTCTGTGGAGAGACGTGGGGAAGATTCGATTCCGAGAAGAGGAAGAGCCCGACTGAAAGGGAGCGAGGCCGCTGAGGGGGAGGGGGCTGCCAAGATGGCGTCGGCCTCCTCCGGGCAGTCGGCGGTCGGATTTTCATCCTTTGATCCCGGGGTCCCTTTGAGTAACTCGGCCTCAGGTAAGCCAGGCGGGGCGAGGGCGGAGTGGTGGTGCGGGCTGTGCGGTCGGAGGTAGAGCGAGACTCGGCCGGGCACCTGTAGCCGGGAAGGTCCGAGGGGTTCCGGGAAGGTCCGAAGCCTGGCTCTCAGGGGTTTCTGAGTGGGCAGGGAGTCCGCGAAAAGGGTGAGCTTAACCGAGAGGAGGGAAGCTGTCCACCATGGTGACTGTCCCAGAGATCGAGTGGGGGGCTTCCAGGCGGAGGGGTGGATACGGAAGGTGGGGGTAGGCAGGAAACTCTGGGAGGCTTAACGAGAGGAGTCGGTGTGCGAGGCAGGTGGAGCCCTCGTCGATTGTGCAGTTAGTTGGGTCAGAACGTTGAAGAGACGTGGGGCTGGGACGCCGCCGCGTCTCAGGACCCTTGGAGCCGGCGGAGTCGGAGGCTGGGTTTGTTGGGAGTGGGAGTTCCTGGAGCGGTCTTGGACTCCCCTGGGTGCGTCATTGCTTCTCGCTGCTCCCCGACCCCGCCCGCGCAGACTCGCGTACTTATTTTCCCAAACTCAATCCGTGACTTCCATCCCTGGCCTGCCCTACTCTGGGAAGGAATTAGAAGTTTTGAAGAGAACCTAAATAATGTGGAGAATTCGTGTCAAAAGATCCTGAAAACAGACGGAGAAGATGAAATGGAGTCTTAAATTCCAGTAGAGCCTAAAGGGAAGGGATGTTTGGAGTTGGGCCCGGGAAGGAAAGAAAAGTGGGGGATGGCTCTAAGTGCTATGGGGGACTATTACATAATGGGAAGGAGACTGGAGGGATGCTGGATGCATCCGGATATTGGAGAACGGAACCCAGCGATACAGAGAGTAGTTAGAAACTAATGAAGATTAAGAGAGCTGAGAACGCCTAGAAGAAACAGATGGTGTGTAGGAGGGAAAATGTGTGTATGGGGGGGTGAGTCAGAAACCGTTCTGGAACTTCTATTAGAAATGTCTCATATCCCAGATGACTGTTGCCTCTACACTGTGAACAGGAGAGGCTTGGATGTTGGATGCTTTAGTTGAGATTTTGTTGACATTTCCTTAGGCCTGGAATTGCATCCTTGCTGTTTTGAATCTGCTAAATAGAGGGTTCCACCTTAAATATTCCAGCTAAAATGAGAGAATATGTAGTCACAGTTACCTTGTAAGATGCAGTTTTATTTATGTATATCTATTTTTAGTGTTGTGTTTTGTTTTGTGTGTGGCGTGAGCCAAGGGACACTTTTATCACCCAGCTACATATTAAACCTTTTTAATTAATTTATTTTTTTATTTTGGATTTTTTTTTGGGGGGGGGGATTCTTGTTTTGGAGATTGAACTGGGGCACTTAACCACTGAGCCACATCCCCAGCCCTATTTTGTATTTTATTTTTAGAAACAGGGTCTCAGTGAGTTAGCTTTTTGCTTGAGGCTGGCTTTGAACTCACCATCCTCCTGCCTCAGCGTCCCCAGTTTCTGTGTCCCATGGTGCCCAGCTTGCTTATCTGTCTGTCTATCTATTTATCTATTTATCTATCTATTTTTTGGAGCCAGGTGCTGAGGTACAAGCTGTGTCTTGAGAGGCTAAGGCAGGAGGATCACAAGTTTGAGGCCAGCACTTGCCTAACATGGGTTCTGGGGCATGAACCCATGGTTGTTTTACCACTGAACTACATCCCCAGCTTTTTTTTTTTTTTTTTTTTTTAAAGTTGTAGTTGGACCACAGTACCTTTGTTTTATTTATTTTTATGTGGTACTCAGATTCAAACGCAGGCCTCACACATGCTAGGCTTTACCACTGAGCCACAACCCCAGCCCCCAGCCCCAGTCTTTTAAATTTTTTGAGACAGGGTCTCAGTAAATTGCTTAGGGCCTTGCTAAATCACTGAGGCTGGCCTCTAACTTGCAATCCTTCTATCTCGGCCTACCAAACAGGTGTAATTACAGGCATATACCACTGTGCCAAGCTCTATTCTTAGTTTCTTGAAAAGTGATTTTTGCTTTTCCTGTAAAAGCATTAGAGGACCAGAACAAGTCATATAGCATTCTAAATGGGAAAAGAATAAAGCAAAGTCCAAGGATTTGTTTTTTAGTATTGGGAGTTAACCCAGGATACTTTATCACTGAGCTGCATCCCCAGCCCTTTTTATTTTTAAAAAATTTATTATTGTTTTAAAATCACACAATGCCTTTATTTTATTTATTTTTATGTGGTGCTAAGGATCGAACCCAGTGCCTCACATGTGCTAGACATGTGCTCTACCACTGAGCCACAACCCCAGCCCCCCTTTTTATTTTTTGAGACAGGGTCTCCCTCAGTTGCAGAAGCTCATCTTGAACTTGCTATGGTCCTGTCTCAGCCTCCTGAGTCTCTGGACAGGCATGCACCACTAGGCCCAGCTTTTTGTTGCTGTTTTTAATATACAGTACTTCCTTAATATAAAAACCTTCTCCCCATACTCTTCAAATCAGAAAGAGGAATGATTGAATGTGTTTTTTAAGCAAACTTCTCAACTATCAAGTAGGTAGTCTCTGTTAGAAGCTTAATAGTGGGCTGGGGATGTGGCTCAAGTGGTAGTGCACTGGCCTGGCATGCGTGGGGCTCGGGTTCAATTCTCAGCACCACATACAAACAAAGATGTTGTGTCCGCCGATAACTAAAAAATATTAAAAAAATTCCCTCTCTCTCTCCCTCTCTCTCTCTCTCTCTCTCTCTTAAAGAAGCTTAATAGTAAGAGCAGGGTGTTTATATTCCAGGTATCAATTTGGCATCATCTCATAGAAGTACCTTCCAGGTAGACAGATTCAGGAATAACAAGAAAATCTTTGTCATTTATTGTTAAATCATCTCTCTCTTGCATTTCTACTCCTAGTTAATTCTAATATCTATTTTAATTATTATGATTTGATATTTTTATAGGTTTTTGTTTTCTGACAGATCTTAGGGCTAGCAGCTAATATTACAGATTGTATAAATGCTCTTCAGTTTTCTCCAGAAAGTCAACTATTAGGCTCAATTGACTTTATACTTGTTTGATTTTACTGTTTTCATATGTGAAGTCAAGGTTCAAAAATGCCTTAAGTTAAAAATAGTCACAGATTATGGGCTGGGGTTATGGCTCAGTGATAGAGCACTTGCCTAGCATGTGTGAGGCCCTGGGTTTGATCCTCAGCACCACGTAAAAATAAAGTATTGTGTCCAACTACAACTAAAAAGTAAATATCAAAAAAAAAGTCACAGATTAGAGATTACTTTTTGGACTCCCCCCACCCCTTTTCTTCCCAGTACTGGGGAACAAAACCATGGTTCTCTACAACTGAGGTACAACCCCAGCCTTTCTTATTTTTTATTTTGAGGTGGTCTTGCTAAGTTTTGAGGCTGACCTCAAACTTGTTGTCCTCTTGCCTCAAGACACCCAAAATCCTGGGATTAAGGCTAGTCCCAAGTAGGATCACTGGTGTGTGTCTCTCTCTCTCTCTCTCTCTCTCTCTCTCTCTCTCTCTCTCTCTCACACACACACACACACACACACACACACACACACACGCCCAAGGATAAGATATTCGATTTTGATACAGAAAAGCCTAATGTAGAAAGAGTTTGTAATGGTAGGAGAGCTCTTCTCTGGATGGTAACAGGGAATTAGGAGCTTGGTAGGAACAAATGATGGTTTTCAATTTCCTAAATTGTTAAAAAAAGAGAAGGCTAACCTTGTAGAAATTCAGGGTGAGTGTGTTTCAACCATCATAAAACCAATTTATTGTTCTTAGATGTTTAGCTGAAATTTACTTAAATTTTGGTGAAACTCCACAATTCTAAACATAAGCTTCTCTGGCAGTTTTGAAAGTGGATAAAAAATAATGTCCCAGTTCAGGGACAGATTTACTGTTGTAGATAATCTGTTCGAAACTTTTGGATACTCAAAATCATTTTTATCATTCAAATTAGGATGAAGAGGTTATTTTAAAGAGTTGTTTCCTGCCAATAGGAAACCCCTAACTATATTGTTTTACCATTAAACTAGAGCTGGTCTTTTATACTGCTGACAAATGAAATACAGAGTGAAGAGCAAACTACAAGCTCTAGGAGATGCTTTGGAGTTAACTAGGGAGGGGTGATGTTAATGTTAACTGTGTAGCATCTTAAAGCAGAAATTATCTTTTGCTTGTTCTTATACTTTGGTTGTTAAAGGTGATGGAGTTTGCTGTCTAGCCTCAGCTGCTTGGTGTGTAAAGAAAATGTAGTCTGTCCTTTTATCATCCTTATTATTTGAACTATGGTACTACTTAATAAAATCAGCACTGATGTGGTGCTGTTGACTGTGAGACTCTCTTATCACACCAGTGTTCAGAGACTTTGTCTGAAGTGTTTTCCTTATCTCTATTTAACTTTTTTTTTTTTTTTTTTTAGTACTGGAGATTTACCACTGAATTACATCCCAGTCCTTTTTTTCGACAGGGCTTCACTAAGTTGTTTAGGTCCTTGTTGAGTTGCTGATGGTTGACCTTGAATTTGCTATCCTCCTATCAGCCTCCCCAAACCCTGGGGTTACAGACATGGGTCCTGGGATTGCAGCCCTGGATAGTTTAACTTCTTACAGTCAATTTAGATTTGACATGTAAGTCCACTGAGACCTCTTTTTACTAGAAAAGAATAAAGAGTTTGTTTTGGAGTCTGACTAGAACATTAAAATATTTTTTTTTTTTTATTTTTGTATCGGGGATTGAACCTAGGGGCACTTAACCACTGAGCCACATCCCCAACATTTTTTAAAATATTTATTTATTTAAAAAAATTTTTAAAAAATATTTATTTTATTTTTTGGCAGACACAACGCTACCACTTGAGCCACATCCCCAGCCCCCCTTTTTTTTTTATATTTAATTTTGAGACAGGGTCTTGCTAAATTGTTTAGGGTCTCACTAAGTTTCTGAGGCTGGCTTTGAACTTGCCAGCCTCCTCCTTTAGCCTCTCAAGCTCTACAATTACAGGCCTATGCCTCT